TGTCATATTATCATTAGGCATCTAAGTTATTATTTCCTCTTACTTGTATATAGCTTATATTCAGGAAATCCTTAGAAATCAAAACATATATGTAGATTACCACTTCAAGAGAGATTTATACTTCCCAACACCCAGAAAAGGGGAGGCCAAGGTTTTTCCTATCATTTAAAAAAATATTCAGTAATTTATCAATATATTTACTGAGCACTTATTCTCTGAAAGGCCTAAGCAGTGTTTTGGTTTATTATTCTATCCTCTGCTTGGCACAGAAGAACTGTATAATTGACTGGCATAAAGATGAATACAACATAGAACAGGACTTGCAAGACCTCAGTCTCCCAGGGAAATATTTGGTTAACTAAGTTTTACAGCATAAACTGTAAAGTTATATAATGTATCTGTAATTCAACAGGGTTTTAAGAAGTTAAAAGTTTAAATAAGGAAAGTGTAAGTTTACCCCATTTTTTTTCTAAGAGCCTCTTGCTCTGTTATCCAGGCTTGAGCACAGTGGCGTGATCTTGGCTCACTGAAGCCTCTTGGGCTCAAGCAATCCTCCTGCCTCAGCACCCTGAGTAGCTGTGCAACACATCTATACTCATAGTTGTGGCAGTGTGGCACCCATCTATACTCTTAGCTAATTTTTTTCTTTAATTTTTTGTAGAGATGGGATCTAGTTATGTTGCCCAGGCGGGTCTGAAACTCCTCGCCTCAAGAAATCCTCCCACCTCAGCCTCCCACAGCACTGGGATGACAGGTGTAAACCACCATGCCCACCTCCATTTTTAATAAAAGTCAAAACTTTTGTATGTCAAAGGGCACCATCAAGAAAGTCAACCAACACAATGAGAGAAAACCATTTTCAAATCATCTATCTCATGAGGGTCTGTTAACCAGAATACATAAAGAATTCCTACAATTAAATAACAAAAAGACAATCCAATTTTAGAATGGGTAAAAGACTGAGATAGACATTTCTCCAAAGAATATATACAAATGTCCAATAAACACACGAAAAAATGCTCACAGTCATTAGTCATATTAGGGAAATGCAAATCAAAACCACAAGAAACCAATTTATACTCAGTAGGATGGTTACAATAAATTTAAAAACAAACGCAAGTTGACAAGGATACACAGATATTAGAACCCACATTCATTGCTGGTAGGAATGTAAAATGGTATATACACTGTGAAAAACGGTTTGGGAGTTACTCAAAAATTTAAACATACAGTTATTCAATGATCCAACAATTCTACTTCTAAGTATATACATAAGAAAAATGAAAACATTTACTGAGCACTTAGTAAGTGCCCCTCTGCACAACTGTCCTGTATTTAGTTAAGAATAACTCAGTATATTCAGGGAAGGAAAAAGAAATGAGATATAACAGACATTGTAACTAGAGATCTTGTGTGGATATTTGATTGTTTTGTTTTGGTGGAGAGGGTTGTTTTACAAAATTTTGAAGCAAACTTTGTCTCTAGAATAAAGGTACCAAGGGAGTATGGTTTCTGTTTTTGGCCAATAACCATTCTTTCAGATAAGAATCAGATGTACAAAAAATTTATCATCTGGTGATTCTGTATCCCTAAACGTGTTCAGATAGAAAATGAGATCTGGGGAAACGATGCTACATATCAACTCACAGCACCCAAAATTCCTGAGAAGAAAATTCAAAAACAGGAATAGATAATGTCATACTATATCTTATCTCTTCAATGGATCACCATACAAAAGTTCTCTAGAAATGAAAGGAGGATAGCAAATCTGAATTATCACTGTCCCACTCATTCCCAAATCACAGCAATCCAATTGCAAAGTTAACTATTGCATAAATTCATACTGTGGGTGACCAAGGTTAAGAATATGGATATCAGTACAGTCCATCAACAGTACCACCATAGTACACAAATAAAATCAAGAGAGAATGATCAGCAGACCAGGCACAGTGGCTCACACCTGTAACCCCAGCATGCTGGGAGACAAGGCGGGCAGATCTCTTGAGGTCAGGAGTTCCAGACCAGCCTGGCCAACATTGTAAAAACCCGTCTCCATTAGAAAAACAAAATTAGCCAGGCCTGGTGGTACACGTCTGTAATCCCAGCTACTTGGGAAGCTGAGGCAGGAAAATCACGGGCCCTGGAGGCGGAAGCTGCAGTGAGCCAAAATGATGCAACTACACTCCTCCAGCCTTGGTGACAGAGTGAAACTCCATCAGAAATAAACAAACAAACATACACTGTATAGAAGTCCAACAGTAGGAAGGAAAAAAAAAACATAACTAAACAATGTTGCCTATTCATTTGGGAAAAAAAATCACCTTTTTTTTTCCTCCTCTGGAGAGAGAGAGTCTAGCTATGTTGACCAAGCTGGTCTTCAATTTCTGGCCTCAAACAATCCTACTGCTTCAGCCTCCCAAAGTGCTGGGATTACAGGAGTGAGCTACTGTGCCCAGCCCAAAAAAATCTTTACATCTTCAGGAGGGGTATGACTTTTGGAAATAGCCAATTTTTGTCACTTAGAGTCAAATACAGTGAACACTGCAAAATGATCACGTTGGGTAAAATTAATTTTTTGCCAAAATCTGAAGTATTCCTGAATATTTATTTACTTGCTTGACTGCTAAACTGGTTACAAAAGGAAAATTCCCAAAATATCATCAGGAATGACATCACTGATACGTATATGGACTCCCAGGCTGACTACTTAGAAGGAAAGCATTCATTTGTGTGTTTAAGTTCTGACATCTGTTTTAAAAATCTACCTCATTTCTAGAGTCATATCATAGAGATGATCCTTGGAAATGTGTATGTCCTATTTTTGGAAACAATGTTTCAAACACACCAAACCAAGTGTCTGAAATACAGCACTCATTAATCCTTTTTATAAACTGAAAAATATTTTCTTAAGGCAAAAGAGCACACATTTACTTACATTAAACTTTTTATATAAATCCAGACATGGTTGTCACTCTCTTCCTCCCTCTACCAAAACCTGAAGCTGACTCAACTAGCACTATGTTTTACCTAACTCTAGAGTCTAGATCA